CCCTTAGACGGTTGTCACCTAAGGTTTTAGGATACAGTCTGTCCTGATATTTACGCATAGCTGAGGGATAGAGATAGATTCATACCTTTCCCATATGTGAATGTAACAAACTCGACTTGAATTCGAACACGGCTCTCCGATTTCTCACTCCGAGCTTCTATCCATTCAGTGAGTTATGTGCCATGCGTGATACACGCTTAGACGATCATGTATCTTTCGATACATGACTGACTAGGCAGATTTTTTTTCTCGCAGTAGGTTGCCATTTCTTTGTGCGGTAGACCATTTGCTATCCAAGGCTATAGTACCTGGCTATAGAACTATAGAATCCTGCTATTTTTTCATAGTTGGTGGGGGAGAAGAAGAGGATTAATACCTTTTCCCAAGAGTATTAGCACTCAGCTCTCCGATTCCTCAATCCGAGCCGCTGTCTCTTACGCTACCGTTTCTTCTATTACTACACTTTATAATAATTATCTACGTTTATGTTTACGGTCTAGTCGTGTTTCTATGAAACCATTCTATAGGTATACATTCTATATGCCGAAGAGAAAATATATTGACATTCTACATTACTTCAAATAAAAGCTTAGCATTGAAACACCAATCAATACTGGAAAGAACGATAACAGCTAATGGATGTAAAAAAAAAACTATTTTTCTGAAAAAAGATTTTATAAATTTCAACAGAATGCAATACTGGCTGCTCGGTCACTGAATACAAATGTTTCTTTATAATGAAGCAGCTAATAATTACCAATGCTATTTGCGGAGTATCTGGGTATGACGATATACTACATCCGGCAGCAAGGCCTCTAATCGGGAGGTTTTGAAGAGCATGGAACCACCTCTTAATTACTGCTGTTCCCAGGTCCAACTGGACCCGGATGGTAGCACCTGTTTGAGTCCCAACTATGAGCAAATAGTTAACCCCTAAACTGGTGGCAAAACTCTATAAATGTATAAAAATTGCAACAAAATTAAATTTCGACATTAAATGACCCATAAGGAGTTGATATGCCGCTAAACAAACTAACAAATCTATTTGTGGTTTTGTGGGATATGATGAAGGGTTGCCATGAGATCAGAATACACAAGAATCCGCTTGAAAATATGTACCATACCATTGTATTTTCTGTATCTTTATGTGTAAATTATTTGTCTTTATATTTCGTCTTTTCTTTCATTTCGTCCTTTTGCAAACCTTTCTCGAGATTTGTGCTTTCTCAATTTCCCTTTTCATTCTGCCTCACCCAGGGGCGGATCACTTCAATACTTGCCATATAAGCTCCGCTTTGTACGCCACTGATTTTTAATTACTATATTTCCGTTTTTCTCTTTCTTCGCTCGATTTTTTCATCTCCAGAACTTCTCTGCTTGCAGGATCCATTATTTATTGGGACATGTTTATCATGTGAAACAATCACGCCCCAGTCCTTTTGGTTTTATTTGCTTCTGCAAATAATATCATCAAAGGAGCTATATCGCCTGGATCCTTGTATTCTTTCATAAACAAATCGCCATATTAGACATGTCGGCTAGAAGTGTTTCTTTGTTCAAGTCATATCGACGAAAAGTTTTCTCCAGAAAATAAAATCTTGTAATTGAGATAGTAGTCTGTAAAGTAATGTCACAATTTTCTCAAAATAGAAGAACACCGTCAAATATAACAAATATTTTTCGTTTTGTTTTAGTCAATTCACGTCAAGCAAGGCGAGAATGCCACTAAGACGCAAGCGGGGAGATACTGGAAGTGAAAGGGAATGAAAGAAAAGACTTTAGAAGGAACCAGAATCCCAATCTTAAACAGAAAATAATCGATAAAACTCTAGACCTGTTGAAAAGATCAGGGACAAGTGTGAAATAAATGATAGGCGGACATATCTACCCCTATTGAGGAAAATATAAATAAGTAGTGAATAAAATTTCAGAGTTTAGGAGGAGATGTTAGAAGCATAGTGTTGAAGTAGACTTCAAGAGGAATCGGAAATCCAAGGGAACAAGTTATAAATCTCTACTTCAGTGCAAAAAACTGGAGAGGAGTGTGAACTGGACGATGGGTGAACTCCTAGTTGAAATTATTCACTTCACTATTTCATCATCATCATCCACCGTTCACTATGCCTCACCATCATCATCATCATCATCATCATCAATCCCATGTTCAGATGTGGTCTTACGGTCACTGCGCAGCTGAGTCCCTGAGCCCCTGCGCATCATATTTAGGTTGAAAGCTGGAGAAGAATTCATTCATTCGTAGCAGTCTTCGGTAAGTAGATCTTTATATATATATATATATATATATATATATATATAGGGTGTCCATAAAGTCCGTGTACAATTCAAAATACTTAAGTATTTTAAATCTTTATGGACACCGTAATAAATATATATATATATATATATATATATATATATATATATATATATATACTGCGTGCCAAATTATTATCGAGATAATCTTTTTTCTAATATTTCAAAAACTGTCGAATCAATTCAC